TTTCTGATTCCATTAAATTGTCAGGTCAAAATTGTTCACCATTAAGTTTACCCGTTTACGGTGAATGGCCAACGGGCTCTTGTTTGAATGTTGTTGGTCAACGATGTTTAATTGGGTGTCAACGGGGATTTGAATTGATTGGGTCATCGCATCGGACATGTTGCGATAACGGTACTTGGACTGGTGAAGATTCAATGTGCATAAGTAATTAAATTGTTTGATGTTAATTTGTTTCCTCATAGATTGATTATTTATCTGTTGTAAATTACTTTAGATCAACAAATTCAATGTCCACAGTTAATTGTCCCTAATGATGGTCGGCTAATCGGTAATTGTTTACCTTTCGCTGGGGGAACTTGTATAATCCAATGTTACGGCGATTCCTTCAATCGTTTGGTACAATCGGTTTGTCATATTAACGGTTCTTGGTCTGATCCTAATCCTCGGTGTACATTGACCACAACAACGACTTTAGCACCGCGTTGTCCACCCATTAGTGGCCTTTCAAATGGACAAATTGATAGTTCGTGTTCAGCTGGTTTTCCTGGTTCACTTTGTTCATTTTCATGCAATTCTGGGTACAAATTGGTTGGATTATCGACTCTTTCATGTTTACCTGGTGGCCTTTGGTCGGGTGAAATGCCCGTTTGTGCTCAAATAATGTGTCGCCCGTTAACCAGGTCACCAAATACCCTCTTAATGGGCAATTGTTCACCAGGAATTGTTGGTACAACTTGTACTTATCAGTGTTTACGTGGTTATAGCTTAGTCGGTGGTTCGGAGACACTTTTATGTACAGAAACGGGTGAATGGTCTGGCGCACCACCGACCTGTGAATCTGTTTCGTGTCCTTCATTAACTCGACCCTTAAATGGTCAATTGAATGGGTCTTGTAATCCAGGTAAGGCCATGGAATCGTGTAATTTAATCTGTGATACTTGTTATACTCCGACATCTAATCCAAGTTTAACTTGTCGGGAAACTGGCCAATGGTCTGATCCATTGCCAAATTGTATACCCATAACATGTCCACGATTACCTGGTCCAATAGTCGGATCTTATTCTGGACATTGTGATCCAGGTCTTTGTGGTCAAACATGTTTACTCAATTGTGGGCCCAATTATATTAATCCAATTACTGAATTACGTTGCACACCCAATGGGTGGGGAACGGCAAGTTTACTGACCTGTGAACGGAAAACTTGTCCACCAATTCAACCTTGGCCAATGGTTACACCGAAGGTGTTTGTAGTCCAGGTCTAGTGGGTTCTACGTGTACCTATCGGTGTAATTTTGGATTCGCACTTGTGGGTAAACCAAGTTTCGAGTGTCTACCCGAAACTAGTAATTGGGCTATCGGTGAATTGCCCATTTGTACATCGGTAGTTTGTCCACCAATTTATCCACCGTCAGGAGGTAAAACTAACGGTACTTGTTCGGGTGCCACTTTTGGTTCAACTTGTTCAATTTTCTGTTCACCGTCCCTCAATTTAGAGGGTGAACCTTTGTTAACCTGTACCGGTAATGGAACTTGGAATCACCCAGTTCCTCGGTGTGTGGAAGCACCACCGATATCGTGTCCACCCTTAGTCGCCCCTTCTAATGGTCAGTTGTCGGGCACCTGTTCACCTGGATATTCACAACGAACCTGTACAATTCTATGTTCTTCCGGAACTTTACCAAGTGGTCCAAGTGAATTGACATGTTTACCCAATGGAAATTGGGATAATCCGATTCCATCATGTTCTGGTCGTTCATGTCCACCAATTCTCCTCCTGAACATGGTTACACGCGCGGGGATTGTTCACCTGGTGTACCAGGTAAACTTTGCTCATTCGGTTGTGAAAAGGGTTACTCATTGTCCAGTGAATCTCAACTGGTGACCGAATGTTTCCCGATGGTACTTGGTCTAATGAAGTACCAACATGTATCCAGGTCACATGCGATCCTTATTACCACCCTCACCAAATGGTGGACTACAAGGTACATGTAACCCAGGTTATCCAGGGGAAAGATGTTCATTCACCTGCCCGGTGGGCTATCGACTAAGAGGTCTTTCGAGTTCCCTTTGTCAACTCAATGGTACCTGGTCATCGGTTCCACCCGTTTGTACCTTGGCCTCTTGTCCGTCACTAATTTCACCTCTTTGTGGTTACGCTTATGGTACTTGTTCACCAGGTACTTTGGGTGAAACCTGTAACTTTACCTGTAATCAGGGATGTGCCCTGGAGGGTTTTAATGTGTTGACCTGTGGGGAGGGCGGACGATGGTCTCATTTTCAGCCCATTTGTCGAGGTGAGTTGCCAAATTGTCGTTAAATTTAATAGATATTTAAATTGATTCAATTTCTTTTGAAATACAAATTAACTCTTCATCATTAATATTACCTTGACAACCAGAATATTTTTAATTCAGTTTGAGAAATAAACTAAATCTAATCTTTAAAAGTTTCTCCTCATCGATAATAATATAATTAAGAATAACAATTAAGGTTTTCGTTGAGTTTCTCTTTGAAAAAATAAAATCAATTCTTTCCATTGATTTAGTTAAATGTCAACAATTAAAAATTATTATTCTATTAACTATCAACATTTAAATCGAGAATCATTCAAAATGATTTAATGCTGACCATTTAAACTGATTGTGATTAACGATTAATTGTTGTCACTGTTTTTTGCTTCTTCTTTTAATCATTAAAATCAATTCAATGATAATGTGATATTGATTAAATTGTTATCATTTTGAATTTGAATTAACTTTCCTTTGGAATCAATTTAAATTATATCAATTTATTGATTAGTTCAATTGTAAGGGAAAAATCAATTGATTGTTATTTTTTTGTTTCCATTGTTAAGTTTAATTTGAATCTTTGTTTATATTATCATATCCATAGAGAACTGGATAGAACTTTTTAATTCAGTTAATAAGTCACAATTTGCGTGCAATTGTGACAATTTAAATGTATAGATTTGATTCTTACCGACGATAATTTATCTTAATCACAATTAAAAGTATAATTTATAAAACAAAAATCAACAAAGGAAATGATATTACATATAATAAAAATGTACATTGATAATGTGTGATTCATTAATTGTCCTAGTTAATTTAAAATAATCATTAGAGTTTAATTGTCTTTCATTTTTCTCAATTTAAATGACAATTAAAACATGAGACTCAAAGATTTGGACATTTTATATGAATGATTTAATTGTTTGATTTGAACTTTGGTTAATTTTTGTAACCAGAAATCGGCTCTGAACCAACATCTACACCAACAACGGTACCAGGAACTGATCCAGATCCCGACCCCGACCCCGATCCTGACCCTGACCCTGACCCGGATCCTGATCCATATCCTGACCCTGATTATACTGACCCTTATCCAGATGTAACCACAATTAAACCTACAACCTCACCTAAGCCAACCATCAACCCAACCACTGGTCCATCGACCTTTTGTCAACCCTTACGTCCACCCCGAGGCGGTGTTCTTTACGGTAAATGTGCACCAGGTATTTCGGGTTCAACCTGTACCCTTGTTTGTTCAAGAGGTTACAGGTTAGTGGGTCAACTAGTGGTCACTTGTACAAACTCTGGCCAATGGTCAGGGCGATTAGGAATCTGTCAAAGTGAGTTAATTACAACTGACCCAATGAACGTTGTAAATTAAAAACACATTAAAGTAAATAATACAAGTTGCGAACAATTAATAAATCATAATTAACTCTTATCAAATTGATTTTCTTTCTTCTACTTTGTTAATTAGTCGCAACAACTCAACACTGTGCCTCAGGTCGTTGTTGCCGTCCGCCCACTATTCCGATCAATGGTCGGCTATTCCGTTGTAACAATTCAATCGGAGGTCAATGTCGGATAACTTGTTCCGTCGGGTATAAAGTTAACATAATTCAACCACTTAAATGTCAACTTAATGGTGATTGGAATTACAATCCAGATACAATTAAGTGTATCCAATCAACTAAAACAGTTATGTTTGTCTGGAGATGGTTTGGTTAATTGTTGACCAATTTACACCAAACAATTAATATCATCGTCTCATCAACAGCAATTCAATTCTTACCCAAGAGTGTTAATAATAACAACTTAAATCACAATTAAACAAAATGGAAACACCGTTAAAAAACAATAACCATAATCATTGAACAATTTAATGATAATCAATTTAATTTAATTGTCATGGATCATCAATGATGTGAAACTAAATAGTAATAGTTAACTGGTTTATCTATCAACAATTAAATCAACATTTATATATATTGTTAACTATTAACGTGACATTAATCATCATGATAATAATAATAATAATAATATTGATTAACTTAAATTAATTATAAGATGAAGTTAATTGTTCAACTTTCTCACTCTTTTTTATTTAATTAATTGTACAATGTTTCTTATAAAAGCAAATAAATTAATGGTAATACTTAATTACTAATTGTTGATTGATTGCGTGGTGAAAAATTGAAAGCAAACTTTAATTAAATTGTTACGATTGTTGTTTCCAAAGGTCTAAACTCATTTGGGATCAACTAATCAACTAAATTGTTACCATTTAACAGCAATTCAATTATCACGCAATAGTATCAATTCAATTCTTAATAACATATTAATCTAGTAACAAAGATTAACACATTAAACTGTTCATCTCATTAATTAATTAACTTGTATCATCAGACAATTAAATCAATTTGCTTTCTGTTGTTAATCAGTTGATTGTATGGAAAACATTATCAAAATGGAAATGGACAATTAACTGGATTAAAAAAATGTATAACACTTTCTGAATGATTAGAAAACAGATACAACACCAAATAGAATTGGAGTTAATTTAATTCTATTAGTTAATTGTTGTTCTAGGTTCGGTTAAATTTTCCGCGTAATTAATTTTCCGCCAAAATCCAATCAAAAGGGAAACATTTTTATCAGAAGATGAAAAAGAGATGATAAATTTTCCTCTTTCTTTATCATCATTTTCTCTTTCTTTATTAATATTTGTGAAAAACAATTAATTCTCAATGTTGCCAATTCGTTAATTGTGTTATCATGATAATTAGAAAATTAAATTCAATCTATTAATAATTGGAACCAAATTAATTCTCATTTTCTAACCTTTGGCCTGGTCTTTAAATCTTCATGTGAGTATATTGGAGTATCTGTTGTGTACAATATGATGATTTCTTTTGGGTTGAAGGCCTTTCCTTTTTTCTTAATTGTTGATTATTCTTTTTTTTTGTTAATTGTTGTTGTTTCTTATTCCAATTTAATTTAGTTGTGATTTCAAAGAGAATTCAATTGATATCGGAAATTTGGTTTTTCTATTCTCTTTACCTTCCAAGTAAATATAACTGTAATTTTCCATCATCTGTCATCCACTTTCTATTTTATCGCTTTCTACATGTTCTATTTTTTTCTCTTTCTTTTTTCTCTCTCTTTTTTATTCTATTTTACCTTCTCTCTCTCTCTCTTTCTTCTAGCATCATCATCTCATTATACACTATCATCTTTACTGTCATCATTCGTGTGTTTTACCTCTGTTAACACTATCACCACTTCTTCATCTTATTTGAAAGAGACAGAGAGACAGAGAGAGAAGGAGAGAGAGAGAGAGATTAAATCTCTTGTGACTTTGTATCATTCCAGAATTTCATCCTTGTTTCTTTCATTTAGATATTTCATCTGATTAACTCTGATTAACCTTTTCCATGTAACCCACTGGTTCTGTGTTCTGGATTGATTCAAGTTGATAATCTCTCTTTCTCTCTCTTTCTCTCTCTTGGTTCTTCTTCCAGAGTTTATCTATAGTCAACATTTTCTGTCACCTAAATTTCCCAAGATTTGAATTGATAACAATATCAACATATCGATCATCTTCATAATTAACCTTCATCTCTATTCATTTTGATTTTCAAAAGAATAGAAATTATTAACAATTCAAATTCATCTTATCCAATATTGACCATGGATTCTATTGAAACTCTACTTTTAGCTGAATGGTTTATTTTCATTCCCTTTTCTTCATTTTCTCTCTGTGATACAAATTTATTAATGAAATGATTCCCTTGTGTTCAAATGCGAACGTTCAAAACAAAACAAACCAAGAAAATAAGATAATTCAAACTAAATCGATAAATATATTTTTCTTTTTCTTTCAGAATTCTATCGGATCAATTCACCTTTTTATAAATATATGTGCTCTTCGATATTGGAAAACAATTAACATATCATATGGATCGAAAAAGGGATAACACTTCATCAATAATTACATCTCTCTCTCTCTCTCTCTCTTTCTCTCTCTCTTACTCAGTGAGAAATAAAGGAGAGAGAAAGAGATCCCATCATTTGGATACCATTTAATTATGAAGATGAATAATTATCTTCTCATTAAGGATCGCCTGACTAATATGGTTCCCTTTTTGTTGATGTTACCATACCATGCATAGGAACTGGAAACAGAAAAAGTGATGATAATAGTGCTGGTGAATTATCAAATTGACTTATATTTCTGTCATATCTATTTGCTGTTTATACTTGAACTCTCTCTTTTCTTTCTCTCTCATTTCCATTGAGGTGAGAATGGGAAAAGTGTATGGGAGAAAGAGAAAAACAATATAACGTTGCTCTATGATGAGAAACTCATTATGAGGTTATATTGGTTTCTATCATTGGTTTTTTTTCTGCAAAAAGGATGGATAGAGAATGAAGAATTGCCACAAAAGAATCATTACCTGAGAGAAGCGTTTGTTGTCATTTGATGGTTACCAGAGGAACCAAATAGAGGAACAATTATTATGGGAAAAGAACATATTACATATACACAACTATCATCATTTCATCATCATTATCATCATTGGAGGGAAGGCAAACATATAACACATACACACAATATACACTCACCAAAATGCAGCGAGAGTAAGGAAAAAATTGAAAATTGTCAGAGAGAAAGAGAGAGAGAGAGAAGGAAGAAAACCAAAGGAGGAGATGATAGAATGGGGGAGATGAAGAATGGGCGAAACCATTAAAAAAGGGAGCAACCAAGTTACCTGGACTGTCAAGCGAAAATAGAGAGACCGAGAGAGTGAGAATAATATTTATATCAACAAACCCTATGGTATTTATATAAATGTATCTGTGTATCTGTTAACTTGGACAGAGAAGAAGAAGAAGAAGAAATTAGGAGCAGAGAGAGAGAGAGATTAAATCTCTTGTGACTTTGTATCATTCCAGAATTTCATCCTTGTTTCTTTCATTTAGATATTTCATCTGATTAACTCTGATTAACCTTTTCCATGTAACCCACTGGTTCTGTGTTCTGGATTGATTCAAGTTGATAATCTCTCTTTCTCTCTCTTTCTCTCTCTTGGTTCTTCTTCCAGAGTTTATCTATAGTCAACATTTTCTGTCACCTAAATTTCCCAAGATTTGAATTGATAACAATATCAACATATCGATCATCTTCATAATTAACCTTCATCTCTATTCATTTTGATTTTCAAAAGAATAGAAATTATTAACAATTCAAATTCATCTTATCCAATATTGACCATGGATTCTATTGAAACTCTACTTTTAGCTGAATGGTTTATTTTCATTCCCTTTTCTTCATTTTCTCTCTGTGATACAAATTTATTAATGAAATGATTCCCTTGTGTTCAAATGCGAACGTTCAAAACAAAACAAACCAAGAAAATAAGATAATTCAAACTAAATCGATAAATATATTTTTCTTTTTCTTTCAGAATTCTATCGGATCAATTCACCTTTTTATAAATATATGTGCTCTTCGATATTGGAAAACAATTAACATATCATATGGATCGAAAAAGGGATAACACTTCATCAATAATTACATCTCTCTCTCTCTCTCTCTCTCTCTCTCTCTCTCTCTCTCTCTCTCTTACTCAGTGAGAAATAAAGGAGAGAGAAAGAGATCCCATCATTTGGATACCATTTAATTATGAAGATGAATAATTATCTTCTCATTAAGGATCGCCTGACTAATATGGTTCCCTTTTTGTTGATGTTACCATACCATGCATAGGAACTGGAAACAGAAAAAGTGATGATAATAGTGCTGGTGAATTATCAAATTGACTTATATTTCTGTCATATCTATTTGCTGTTTATACTTGAACTCTCTTTCTTTCTCTCATTTCCATTGAGAGTGAGAATGGGAAAAAGTGTATGGGAGAGAAAGAGAAAAAAACAATATAACGTTGCTCTATGATGAGAAACTCATTATGAGGTTATATTGGTTTCTATCATTGGTTTTTTTTCTGCAAAAAGGATGGATAGAGAATGAAGAATTGCCACAAAAGAATCATTACCTGAGAGAAGCGTTTGTTGTCATTTGATGGTTACCAGAGGAACCAAATAGAGGAACAATTATTATGGGAAAAGAACATATTACATATACACAACTATCATCATTTCATCATCATTATCATCATTGGAAGGAAGGCAAACATATAACACATACACAATATACACTCACCAAAATGCAGCGAGAGTAAGGAAAAATTGAAAATTGTCAGAGAGAGAGAGAGAGAGAGAGAAGGAAGAAACCAAAGGAGGAGATGATAGAATGGGGAGATGAAGAATGGGGAAACCATTAAAAAGGAGCAACCAAGTTACCTGGACTGTCAAGCGAAAATAGAGAGACCGAGAGAGTGAGAATAATATTTATATCAACAAACCCTATGGTATTTATATAAATGTATCTGTGTATCTGTTAACTTGGACAGAGAAGAAGAAGAAGAAGAAATTAGGAGCAAGAGAGAGAGAGAGAGAGAGGAGAGCTCATTTATCTTCCTCTGTAAAGATAAAAAAGAGTTTACTACCTTTCGACATTTACATTTGTCTTCTTAAAGTCAGTGGTTCACTTGATTTAGTCTCATTTAAATTGTCAACCTCATCGACTTTTACCTGTGTCTTCAATTGCTCAATATTTTTCTTCTTCTTCTTATTCCTTGGATTCTTATTTTATTCAATCTCTTCCTCTTCCGTTTATACTTTTCATTACCAAAGTAATACTTACCTTTGTGAAGAATAATTTATTCCCAATCAATCTTTGAGCATCTCAACAACATTCAATTGATATTAACTATTCATCTCTTTCGTCTCTTTCATCTAATCTTTATCTCTTATTCAGAATTTCATCAATACAACAATTAAGTCATTCTCCTAGTGGAAGACTAGTGATTTTGTTGTTTGTGATAAATCACTCAAACAAGAAATCGCTATCTTCCGAAGGTGGATGACAACTAACAACATCTTTCATCATTTACTAACCCAAAATCTCAAATTAATCAAGTTAATTGAATTCTCACAAAATTGGATCCTTTTAATTCATTTATTGAATCTAATTTCCTTTTCTCTTTGATAATCAACTGGTAAAAAGACAGGTAACCAATAACTTTCTTGTTAATCAACTTAATCGTATACTAAGACTTAATTGTTGAACCTCGTTCACCTTTAATCTTTTGCCCTTTAAAAGACTTGAGATGTTCAACTGATGTTCACTAAATTGTCCTGTTCAAATGATGATTAATATGAACGTCACTAAACTAATTTAATATTCTATTAGTTATTAACTATATCAAAAAAAAAGTTTTCTCTTCAATAGGAACAAATTTTCATCTTGGTTTGATGATCGATGAACAAACAGAATCTTTTCCTGGTACATTGAGGCAAATGTTCATGGTTTCAGGGAGGAAAACAATTGAAATGACACAACAATCAAAGAAAATCAAACAAAAAAGACTGAAAAAAGCCCCTCATGCTCATCCAAACAGCTAATTCGTTGGTTTTAATGCACTCATCTTATTCACCCTCGTTCTCTGAAGTAAATAAACAATGTTCTGGTTTAAATGTTTTCCGGAAGTTCTGTTATCAGGGAAGAAAAGAAAAGAAAATAAGGAATAAGTTTTCTAAGAGAAGATGAAAAGATTTCCCGTTCTATCAGGTTAATCTTCCTGTTTCGCTTTTTGTCACCAAAGAGCAAAACGTAAGATGATGGAGAGAGAGATGAAGAGGGAGAAAAGATGACAAAATTTTTGTCACTTGTAATTGATCATCTTTATCATTATCATCATTTTTGTTGACATTTAACTGTTGATCTTAATTTCAATCATGATCCTCATCATGTTTAAATGTTTATCGTGTTTACAATGAAATTTTTTATTCCATATAAACATCATAAATTGTTTCCATCGATTAATATTTATCTTATACTTTTCCATACGATTAACCTTTGCCTGACCCTTGACACTATGGTTTCAGCTGAAATTTTCGGTCTACATCCAGCGATGGCGGAGAAAAAGCCTGATGACTCTGAATCGTCAAGAAACGCCAACAAATCGTCAACTCCTACACCCGAAGATCTTTCATTTAGTCATCCCTTTATGGGTGAAAGTTCAGCGCGAGTTCCCGTTATACTTTACCCGCTCGCTCGGCGAGTTGGTTTTAGTACAATCATGTTAAGTGCTCTACTTTATGGCATCACCATCGTTCCCGCTTTACTTGCCGTCTCTGGTTACGATCCATTTGGAGGTAAGTCGATTGCTTTTAATTCTGTCATTTTCCAATCTATTGATTCGATGAATTATTCAAATTGTTACAATTTATCTTCGCATTTTCAGGCTCTGGTCTTATTCCTTTGGCTCTTCCTGTTTTGATTGGTGCTTTTGCTGGAAGACGAAGACGAAGATCACTTGAAAATCATATTCCATTGGAAAGACTTGACATTGATTTGGATAAAATTAGATTGTTAATCGCTTCATTGGAATCACCATTCGGTGTGACAATTAACAATCGTAACAATCTTTGTTCTAGATTTCGTCTTTGTCGACGAATCGAATCTTTCAGACAAAGTTTGGTTAAATTCTTACGATTGTTATTTAAAAGTCAAATGAAACATTTACCATCAATTAATAGTAATCACATGCAAGCCTTACCCAAATTTCCTAATTCTTAATGGTAATTATGTATTTCCTTGATTATTATTTATATTTAATTTATTCAATATATGAAATTGAGTCAGAAATATCAAAAATTTTCTGTTTTATCTAATAAAATTTTCTTCTAATTATTAAAAATATATGATCATTGATGGGTTTTTTTGCTTATATACAAAATATTACAAATGGATGAAGTTCAACAATCAAAAAGGTTGATCAAATTATTGCAGATTTGTCCAAATAAGGAAAAGCTTTAAAATGTCCAACTTTTTTCTTCTGAGAATCGTAATTAAAGGACATGAAACATTGTTCACAAAATAACCATGGATTGTCAGGTAATCTCTTATTATCAAATACAAGCCATTTGGGGACATTGATTCCACACATATAACACATTATAGCAGTTTTGTTGACCGTTTTAAATAATCTTGGATAATCGTCGATAAATGGACTATCAGTTTGAGGTGAAAATAAACGCATCTCTGAGAAGACTATCATATGTTCACAATTCCCTTGATGGACATAAACATAGGGTTGACCAAGTCGAATGGTAAGATCGATGAAACAAGTAGCCTCCATTTTAGCCGATCGAAGTTCAC